TCTCAATCTTTCAGGTTTTGCCCAAACATAATCTCTTAAATTTAGGCAACAATGACTTCTGCAATTTTTATGCCTGTGTTATTAATTCTTACTCCGATTTCCTTCTTGGCATTCTTCTAGGCCCTATAGACCAGGGGTCTCTAACCCTGGGGTTGTGGACCATACCCATTCGTGGCCTGTTAGGAACTAGGGCATGCAGCAGGAGGTGAGCAGCAGGGTGAGCTGAGCTCTGCCTTCTGTCAGATCAGCAGTGGCATTAGATTCTCATAGAAGCACGAACCCTTTTGTGAACTGTGCATGCGAGGGATCTAGATTGCACTCTCCTGATGATGTCCTTCTCCTTCCAACCCTGCAGGTGGAAAAATTGTCTTCCACAAAACTAGTCCCCGATGCCAAAAATGTTGGGGACCGCTGCTATAGATGACACATCTACAAACACTCATATCTCACCTGTGCATATTTCTACCCATCTTCCACAAGCAGTTCAACCGGGCAGCCAGCCGTCCCCACTCTCTGCCCCTCACATACATACTTTTTTTCTTTTTAGAAACAGGGTCTTGCTATGTTTTCCAGGCTGTGGTACAGTGGTGCGATCATAGCTCACTATAGCCTTGAACTTCTGAGCATAAGCCATCATCCCACCTCAGCCTCTGGAGTAGATGGGACTGCAGGCATGTGCCACCATGCCCAGCTAATTTTTTAGAGATAGGAACTTGTGATGTTACCCAGGCTGGTCTTGAACTCCTGGTCTCAATCCTCCCACCTTGACCTAAAGCACTGGGATTTCAGGTCTGAGTCACTGCGCCAGGCCCACTCATGTAAATACTTATGCGTAAACACTTGCATAAACACATGCATAAATACTTCCGTTCACCTAGGAAATTATGGTTCCTGAAGATTATTCCTGAGTTAATTGGATTGAAGGGTAAAATGCATCTTTTCTTAGAAAATATAGAACAGTTATGGCAAAGGATAAATTGCCCCTATCCACTTAAGTTCTGAGGCCTGTTCACATACTAGACTTGGGATTCCCTGCTTCCAACACTCCAAGACATTTCTGTACACTGAGACATTGGCCCATCTTTTAGGAAGGAGTGGGTATGCTAGAACTGAAGGCAGGGATGAGATTAAAATCTGTGTTTTCTCATCTGTATGCAAAACATCATTATGGATATTCCAAATCCTGTTAGTTGATACATGTAGTTGAAAAATCTGGTTTTTTCCCCCCTCTCTTTCTCTTTATAATGTTGAATTTTTGAAATAGGTTTAGACCACACAGGCAGCCCTCAACTGACAAATGTGTTAAGGTTCAACAAGGGCCTTCATTTGAGTTTTCCCACAGAAATATTGTCTTATAAAATGTTTGTCCCTGGCTAGTCAATTCAATGTGCCTAAAATACTATACAATTACATTTAAAAAACAGTATGAAACAATGCTATGAATGAGCAAACCAGAAAAGGAATACATTTGAATAAGGCAAGTATATATGTATGTACACACACACACACACACACACACACACACACACACACACACACACACACACTACACAATACACATATACACACATATCTGTTAAAAGCTCATCTATTTAAAAGAAGATTTACTTGGAGAAGAGTGGATATTTAACTAAAGACACTTATGGAGCTTCCAAAGAGAGGTCTGTGCATTTAAAGATTATTGGCAAGGTTCTTTTATTCCTTCCAATGTATTTTCATTTTGAATATTTAAAGAAATCCAGTCTGTTATCTTGTCTAATGTCACTTCAAAATATGCCTTTCATTTTCCTTGATACAGTGTATTCCTACACTTATGCTTGCCCAGTGTAACTTGTAGCATTCATGTTATTAGTAGTATTATTTTAGTAGTAGTATTTGGATTACCAATGAAGCTAAAAAAGGGAAATGGAGAAGAAGTAGGATTTCTAAAGATAACTTACCAAAATGTAGTAGACGAACGCAAGAGACTTTTAAATGGTTCTGGTGAGTACCAAAAAAAGACTTCATATAAGGTGGGGGGCTAAATAGATATTGAAAGGAGAAAGGAGCAGAGGATGACAGGATTTGTCCATGATGACTCAGAGGGGCACAGAGGCAGGTGGAGAAGTGGTATCATATACTTGGTTCTAGTTGACATGTGTAACTGGCATGGCACACCACAGTGATGGGGTTCCCAAAGCCAAAGGGTTTATAAATGGAATCAACTTTACTTTTCTAAAACTGAACCTACCTACTTTGACTAATGGCAGATAAACTTTTTCCTGGTGCTTTCAAATGTTCTTTGCCCAATCCAGTGATTTTTTTCAGTTAAATTCAAATATCATTATATCTGTTTCAGTTTGTTTCATAAACACTATTTAGGCATTCTCTTTCCATTCTTTCTCCTGCCCCACTGTCCCCTGATGTACTGTCTAATGAAAAGGTTTTTAGTTTGGTGATGGACTTTGAATGGTGGTGGGGGGAATCTGGAGAGAGTGTGTGTGTGTGTGTGTGTGTGTGTGTGTGTGTGTGTGTGTGTGTGTGCATAAGCACGCATGTGCATGTGCTGTGGGTTCACACATGGGATGGCCTGGAGTGTATTCTTCCTTCTAGTCTTATATTTTCTTTTGGCATGGGTAATGTGGGAGAGAATTTTAGTTTATCAATATCAATGTCTTTTATAGAAACAGAACCCTTGATTTTTAGTTGGACACATGTCCACTTTCAATAAAGATAGTAATTTCAGTCAGCTGTGGCAGAAGAGAAGTATACAACTTTTAAGTAATACTTTTCTTTTTCATTTTCTTGAGTTAAAATTCAGACATAACAGTAAGTCATCTCAGACATACAGATATAGATAACACCCTTGGGATGGTGGTCTGAGATAGAAGGGTTATTGGATAACCAGATGGGGCAGAACTACCATGCCAGCCCTGGAATGCCTGCCCAAGTCTGTTCTGTGAAAGAGAAATAAATTTAGATTTGCTTAAGACATTGTAAATTTGGGTCTTTCTTATATCCAAACTAGTGCATGGTGGGAAAGGGAAAGGCTAATCAATGTAACTTGATGTTACATATACAAGAAACTTGATCTGTAGGTGCCAAAAAGATGTTGAATGGTGGATGGATATGTACTGTAAGGACGTTCCCAGAAGCAGGAATACTGTCTCTGCTAATGTTAACAAAGTAACTAAGCCTTCAAAGTACATATTAAAAATATAGGATTTCCATGTAATGCAGTGCTTGGAAATGCATTGGGATGAAAACTGTGTATTACTGTAGTTCAATAACCATCTTACTGCATTCCCTAGAAGAAATGATTAAAACTCCATCCCAGTACTCTTTGGCTGACCTTAGGATCAACTTGATGTTTAGCATCCCATGTTTGTGGGATTCAGATTTTAAGAAGGCAGGATTAATGAACATGTTTACTAACTGTTTAAAAGAATACATCATAGAACAGAGAATATTCTTCAGTTAAGGAGAAAAAGCAATGTGTCATACTTTACAAGTTCATAGACATGCTTTAAAGCAAAAAAAGCTGAACTCTTTTGGCTATACTAAATAATAGACACAAGGGATAGTTGTCCAACTAGATTTCTACCTCCCAGAGTTGTTAGAAATTATCAAGTGTCATTCAGTAGATGTAGGAGATATGTAAAAATAGAGGTTATAAGAATTTTATCATGTCCTTGGGCTTCAAAAGTAATTCTTATTCCTTCTGAGCACATTTAGATTGTGTGTACATTATAGAACACATCCTTTGCCTAGAGTGAATGTATTATTTAATCAACTGAAATCATTAAAGCCACCTACACCATGACTGATGTGAGGGTTTTGGTCAATGCCCTGGGATGGACTGGGGATGTGCCCAGCACCGTCTCACTCAGTATGCATCTGGAAGCTCTCCCCTCCTTTCAGCCCAGAGAGCGTCGTGTCTGGGGAGGGGTGGGGAGTCTGTGTTGTCTGGGAAGCACAAGGATGCATATCAATCACTGTTTGGTGGGTAGCACAGACACATTGCCCCTTTATCCAATCACTATGCAGGGCTTTCCTGAGCCAAAAGGAGAGATCTCTAAAATATAGATGGTGTTATTTGTTTCAATAAGTTTGTGAAGTACTTCACAGTGTAGAGCCCTCTAGGTTATTTGTTTTTACATTGCCAGGAACTATATTTAGTTGGCTGATTTTTATTCTGGTGTTAGGACTTTCCAGTCATATCCTTTTAACTGATTCATCAACAGACACATATGAAACTTCTTTGCTGGATCTATGATGAAATGGGCCTACAGAAATCCCCCAAGCTGGAAACGCTCTGGATTTTACTGGTGATGGCCACTGCCATCATCTAAAGCATCGGGGACCTCTCTCGATCCCACAGCGATCTCTTCATGAATATTTCTCTGCACACATTTCCTTCCTATCCAGCTTGTTGTTTAAGTTGACATTTCAATGTAACAAATTCATATTTTGAAAAGTACCCCCAATATAGGCAAGTTTGTAAATTTGTTTTTGTTGTTTATTTAGTCTTAGCTTAACCCATTCATCAGACAACTGTTATTTTACTTCTCAGTTCTTCCTTTGCATCAACTAACTTCACCAACCTACAGTTTTTGGTCTGGAGGAGGTAAAGTTCTATTCATTGTGGCCAGATCTCCCCCTGAGGGCCAGAACCTTCTACTTATACATCACAAACCAGGTTTCCAATGAACACTCTGCTTTTTCTCTGTCATTTTCCAGGATTTTGTAGCCCACCCACCTACCCTGACCCATCCTTCATTTTTTATTGTCCCACTAGTTCTTAATAGTCTTTTTTACTCAGCATGCATGCCTCTCATTGAGTTTAAATACTCCAAGTTCTTATTAATATATCTGCTTGTCCCACATACGGGCAAGCTGTTGGTCAGATTTCGCTTAAGATCATTGTGAGCATTTCAAGAAACTGATCAAAATTCATGTTTGCTACAGATCCTAACACCATCTCCGGCATTGTTTTCCACACTGGTCCCTGTCCCACTCACCAGCAAGCGAGGAGACGACAACAATGCTTCCGTTGCTCTGCTTCAGCATGGGCAAGGCGGCTACACTCAGGACCACATAACTGAGGAAGTTGACCTCCATGCTTTTGCGCACAAAGTGAATGTCATTATGAAAAAAACTCAAAGAAGTTTTGGTGATGTGGTTGAGAATGAGCATGTCTAGTCCTCCTGCAAGAGAGGACTGTGTTGAGAGAAACCATCTGGGGTTGATACCTTCCCCTGTCCCCTCCCAAAAGTTCTTTGGTGAACCCTAAGGCAAAGTTCAGAGGAGGAGTGGAAGGAGCAGCCTCACCCATGAGTTTTCCTGCTTTGGCAACAAATTGCTCTGCGAAGGTCATGTCTTCCATGGTGCCAGCAACATAGTGTGCTGAAGCTGCACCAAGCTCCAGACAGCGGGATACCACCTGCAGTGACAGAGCAGAAATGGCATCAGTCTTAGCTGCTGACTTTAAGTGGGTAGCCTCTGAAATAATGGGGGCTTAAATGAGAGGTTGCTCAGAGTCCTGTTTAGATACGAAATGGTGTGTATGTTTGTGTATTTATTGCTAAATACAACCTCATGATCATCATTTTCTCTCTGAAATATTTTCTGGAAGACGGTGGGGTTGAAAAGGATAAAACATCACTGTGCTGAGGTTTAAGTCCATGATTTATGCTCTTGGGTTTCTGTGAAAAGATGTTTGTGAATGCACTATGGGCATAGATGCTGGTTACTGTGTGGGTAGCTCTGGGTTTGTGAATGTTTGTATTTCCTCGGGTTTGTGAGTCTATGAGAGGGCATGTGTCTGGGAGTATGCATGAGTATGAGCACATAATGCATATGAAGATATGTATTCATGAGCAAGTATTGGGATTTTGGTATCTGGAAACATCCCTGTGTATCTGTGTTTCCATGTGCAAATGTGCATGACTAGGCATGTCTATAAGCATATATAGACCAAGGACTTTGTGGCTAAATATTTTATATATATATAAAACATTCCAGTGGGTATTTGAACCTGTATATGAGAGTATAAAATTAAGTGTGTGTATGTGTGTGCACATCTGTGTATGGATGTGCTAGCTTCTAGCTTTTGTGTATATGTGAGTATATATAAGAACACATCTGGGCATCTGAGGGTACATGTGTCTGTGGACACAGAACCCTCACCTTCTGTAGATTTTCTTTTGACCTCGCTGTTACCACCACATGGGCTCCCATCTTCGCCAGATGATAAGCCATCTCTTCTCCGATTCCTCTGCTGGCCCCTGTGACAATTACTTTCTTGCCTTGGAGCATCTCTGGGGAACCCCAAAAAGGAAGTGAGGATCATACATAACTTGACAGCAACATTCCTTCTCCCTCTCTGAATATGGGCAGGCCTTATCTCAATTTCGAACTTTAAAGGTTAGGGGTTCTGATCAATTTGCCTCAAACTGCGTCAGTTACTGAGGGAACAGTTCAAGTCTTTCTGAAACATGCTCTGAAGTTGGAGTTTGGCCTGGTTGCTCAAAACCAAGACTCCCTGTTGTCATTTTTAAAAACCTCCATGGACAGAGATCATACAACGAGGCCAGAAAAGGCATTGCTTAGCTAAAACGTTGGAGTTCCAGACATTTCTGGACTCATCCAATTTTGCTCAATTGAAAGAAAAATTTAAAAAGAATCAGAACACATGTGTTTGTAGTGATTCCAGGGATTTTCCCTCACTTCTATGTAGTCGTCAACTCCAGAGTTTCTTTTTGCCTCCCACCTATCAGTCTCTCCATCGAGCCCAATTAGCTGACTGAGCTGTGAATTTAGGTATTACCCTCCTTTTTGTGGTGAAGATTTGAAATTACTTTCCGATAAGAGTGCCAAATAAAGCATGGCCTATTTGGCAAGCTTTTGGCTGCACAGTTATCCCTCCCCACACCCCTGCCCACAGCCTGGAGGACACAAAAATACTGTCCCACCTCAGGATTCCCTTTTTTCCAGCAACTCTGGGGATCAAGAACACAATTTGATCCTCAGAAACACTCTAGCACCCCTGCTTTTTCCTTTTCTCCAAAATGAGATACACTGGGGCTTACCTGGTCTGAATTCTTCTTTGACAGAATAGTAGTAGTAGGCCAAGAAGAGCCCCAGAATGGGGAGGAGATACTTTTTCATAAAAGCCATCAGATGTGGACCTGGCCCGAAGATCCCTGTAGGACACACAGAGAAAACCTACAGAGCTTTCGACAACCTCCTAGGCAGGCAGCAGCCTCTGAATTGTGACATCAGGGACGGGGGAGGCTGGAGTAGTCTCAGGCAGTGCTAGCCAATTTCCCTGTCAGAGCAGCGATTGGCTTTGGGTGGGATCCCATTCGTCCCTGGCAGCCTGCATGGTGGATTTCATAATGGACAATGTTTACTCCATTTCATTGAGCAAGAGGAGACTTCCAGATGGCCAAGCTCATGACTGTACAGGACTGGATTCCTGAGCATCCCTGCCCCGAGTCCATCTTCCTCTTAACACCATTTACGCCAGGGATCAATGGTCTTTCAAAAGTGGTTTGTCAAAGACGCAGCGAGAGGAGTGTATATGGGACTTCTGGGAGAAATGTGAGTAATAGCAAAGAGAGCCAAATGCAAGCCAAATCTTATTCTCGGTCCCACCCCCTAGTCAGAAGCAATTAAAAAATAATAGCACAAACAGCAAAATAAGCTTAAGAAAAAAATGTGCACATCTTGAGGAAAAAAAAAAAAGCAAACAAGCCCCATAAGCCCCACACTCAAGTTCAATGAAAAAGTATTACAACATCAAAGGGGATATTGCAAGCCAGCCAGAACCCAGATGGCGGGAAACCCAAGACCAGTTCAAGCCTCTCAAGCAAGTGCAATGGAACGTACACTTATTACTTTAACAGAGAATAAAGAAGAAATAATGAGCTATTAAACTGGGTCTTGTAAAAACTACAGAGGAGCAAGAACTATGGAGAGGATGCTAGGAGGAGGCGACCTGATGTGAAAGAAAAAAGAACGAGCACTATGCAAGTGAAACTAGCTGGGCACGCCCACGTCTCAGTTAAAAATAGATATAATAACAATAAAAGGACCAGAGGGGAGGAACTCTGAGCAACTCAGAATTTATTATCAGGGAAATGGATAAACAATCACCTCAGTATGTCTTAGCAAGAATTCATTAAGAAGTAATCCTCAAAGAAAGAATTTAAGACGTTTCATTGTTAAGTTTTTCAACTAAAAGCCAACGAACCAAATCAAGAAAATCACCCAAACACAAAGTAATCCTGAGTTCTGCAAGTTACCAATAGGGCAAGGAAATAAATTGAAATTTGATAATGAGTATGAATGTTTTGGAGATGGGATAGGAGTTGGGGTCGGGGGACAGAACTTACACTAGGTTAAGGGAAATTTAGTAACGATTCCAAGTACAGTATCTGGAAATACTCAGTGAATTTTCACTTCAGAGTAAGAGAAAATAATTTAAGACCCAGAGGAGATGAAACAATTTGTCAACAAAGGTCCACAGCTGTGAAAGTCACTTACAGGAAACAATGGAGATTTGAAAACAGTTGAGGGCTAGAAAAAGCTCAAGGTCTATGGAGGACAAAAATAGAAAGAAGAGAAAATTCAAGTGAAAATTAGATTACATAACTTTAGAACTTCAAGATATATTTGTATAATCTTATAAAGGTCTTTATGTTACCAAAATATGTTACAGATTAAATTCAATTTTCATCCTTAGAGAAAAGGAAGTATAAAATTAATTTTCTTAATCCTATACAATCAATAGTAAAATTATAGGCAACAATGAAAGGTTGTTTTAAGATATGATGATGCTGAGAGGATAGAAAGATGGACAGACTAAGGATGTTTATTGTCTGACAAAAAAGAAATAAAGAATTTTAAAGTCCATTAAGAAAACATAAATTTAAAGAAAGCAAAAATAACAATGAGCAAGATAAACTGCAGGGTAATAGAACACAGAACAAATGCATCAACAATTGCTGATTGTTTGGCTCCATTAAAAAATGAAGTCCAACATTGTGTGGCCTCAAAAGACACATTTAAGCCCAGAGACACAAACAGATTTATAATTAGATGACCTAATAGCTATGATGCTAGAAAATAAGGATACGGAAAAAAGCATCCAATAAAGTAGTTTTCATGGAATTAGATAAAATAATTGCTAAATAAAATGTATTGATGAAAAATAAGAACACTGTGTAATGGTAGATGACACATTAAATCAGCATTTCTCAAATTTTTGGTCTTTTAATAATTATCAAGGACCTCAAAAAACTTTTGTCTATATAGGTTTTACTTATTGCTATTGCTATTGATACATTAGAAATGAAGGCTGGCAACCCCTTTGGGTCCCCTTCCACTATGGAAGCTTTTCTGTTCTCTCAATAAATCCTGCTTTCTAAAAAAAAAAGAAATGAAGATAGGATTAAAAAACCTCGAGCACATATAAGCATATATTTCATTAGCAGTCAGGGCAATGGCATTATCACATATCCTGTAGCCTCTGGAAAAGTCAATCAATGCCTTAGTGTGATTATAAAAATTGTTTTGCTATTTCAATCCCCCAAGAGGGTCTCAGGGACCTGTGAGGATTGTACTTTGACCATATTATGTAATAAACACTGAATCCACTTTGTGTTCATATGTACATGGCTGGTAAATACTCTCACTGACTTGTAAACTCCTGGAAGACATAGATTATATCTTTTTCATCTTTGCCTCTCTCCATTCTCCCCTAGCCTTGCTCCAAAATAGACATTCAATAAACTTGCTGGCTTAGTGTTTGTGAGATGCTGCAGCAATGAGAAAATTGCTGTCTTCCTGGAACCTGGTTTAATCTAGGGAAATCACTAGATTAAAATCTGGCCAGAATAGATCAATCCCACCCCCTTAAAATCTCTTCCTGGGGTTCTCATCAAATTAAAACAAAAAACAAACAAAAAAAGCATAGAGACAAAAGGCAATTCAACAGTTCCACCTAGCATTTGTTTCAAGTCAGATTTGCCCTGATCAGTGAAGTTACATTCCCTGCCATAGCAAGGAAGCGAGCTGTTCACTCCATTTCTCCTTGCCATCCGGCTTTGCAATGCACTGACCATCTACATTCTGGATCACGCTTTCTGTGCATATCTTTAACACAACCTGGCAGTTTTCAAATACCTGTACAGAATGGGCTCCTCACCGCTGGCGGTGCAAGCCCAGTTAGGAATTCTCTCTGATTTGATCATTCCCACCTGAATAAATGGGGTCAATAACAAGCAACAAGGTGAAAAGCACATAGAGGTTTAATGTATGAGAAAGGGACTATGAGGGATGGGCCAGATTTGGGAAGACTAATATGAGGTGGTCAAAATGTGAGGAGAAGCCAGAAGGGAAAGACTGTGCATTTGACATAAAATGGAGATCACAAGAGAAACACCTCTTATTTCTAAGGCAGCAGCTGTAGTGGTTTGTATGATTGTTTAGTAGCTTTGTTAAGAAAAGGCCCTCTTACTTTTGAAAATGAATCCTACTAGGGGGCTCCATGTGTCTCAGAGTCAAAAGTAGGTGGACACCCTGTGTTCAGAGGTTCTTCTGTTCCTGGGAGAATAACAACGTTGAGACAGGAGAGGATCTTAGCATTATGAGAGAAAGCATAGGCTGGGTGCCGTGGCTCACACCTGTAATCACAGCACTATGGGAGGCTGAGGTGGGGGGATTGCTTGAGCCTAGGAATTTGAGACCAGCCTGGGAAATATAGTGAGATCTCATCTCTACAAAAAATTAAAAAATTGGTCGGGCGTGGTGGTGCACGCCTGTAGTTGCAGTTACTTGGGATGTTGAGGAGGAAGGAGCACCTGAGTCCAGGAGGTCAAGGCTATTGTGAGCCATGGTCATGCCACTGCACTCCAGCTGGGGTGACACAGTGAGACCTCGACTGAAAAAAAAAAAAAGGAAAAAAGGATGCATAATATTTTCCCTTTCTTGCCACCCTGCCACCACTCCCACCCCAGTTCCTTATGTCTGATTTTAGGAACTCACAGCTACGGAGATTTTTCTCCTGCTACAGAAACAGCTATCATTTTATACAATTTTATTGACTAACAGACTCCTCCTCCCCCTTCTTTACATTTTCCCCCCTCCCCTGTATATCTAAGGAGTGGGGAGATTCTCATTTGTTAATCCTTCTTCCTGCATGAACTTCCTCCCAATGGACAGATTTACTCCTATTTTCTACCTAATGGAATCTCATCTGGGAAAATGAAGTGAACATGGGAGAAATTGCCTTCTGTATGCTGTTCTGTTCCCTCCTAGCACACGTAGTCTGTGGCAGAGGACTAATGGGGCAGACTACCTGGAATTTATTTGCCCAGGAGAGCCAAGGACCTCCTGGGAAAGAAGAGACCTTCTAGAGTCCACAAGCTTGGTTGGGGGATAAGGGTGGAGAAGACAGTTCTAAGCATGTTGTGGTTTCTGTTTTTTAGGTTTTCCTTCTGGCCTAGATCCCATAGACTCACATCTGAGCATAGAAGAAAGATGGATGTAGTAACTAAAAAAGTTACTCCGTGGAAGGTTTGGTGAAATGTTGGCAGTACAGGGAGCAGTAGGAGAGCCCCACACAGCCAAGAAGACTGACTCCAGCACAGTCACTGCATAACTTTGACCTATCTCATGTTTTGTTTTTTTTTTTTCGGTTGGTCAGTCCAACTTTCAGGAAGCACATCAAGGGTGCACCACAGCCTCAGCCAGGTAAGTTTCATAAAGTGCAAGGGACTTCAGTATTAGAAGGAAGTCACTTCCCTCTGGTGGGAAATAGGATTGCCAGATTTAGCAAACAGAAATACAGAATGCCCAGTTAAATTTGAATTTTAGACAAGCAACAGATACTTTAAAAATGATATCTATCTAGCTAAATAGGACAAACTATTGAAAGAAATACACTAAACTATTGAAGGGAATACCTACTGAAAGGAATATACTTACACTAAAACATTCAAGCTGGGCACAGTGGCTTGTGCCTGCAATTCCAGCTATGCTAGAGGCTGAGGCAGGATCATCATTTGAGCCCAGGAGTTTGAGACCAGCCTAGGCAACATAGCAAGGCTCTGTCTCAAAAAAAGAAGAAGCCATTATTCATTAATCTCTCAAATTCGGGTTTAACTGGGCTTCCTGTGTTTAATTTGGCAAACTTAGAAGTAACACAGGGCTTTGGAAACACTGAGAAACACACTTTGG